TTGAAAAGATAGTTATTCCTCAAAAGCAAGTCTTGATTTCTATTAAACTGTCTATGTCTCTTAATATTAAGTCCTGACACCATTGTTTATGAACAACAGTCAAATGGTTTAGTCATGTTTTCATTGTGACACTTTATCAATCAATCAATCAACGTTTATTTATAGAGCGCCTTTCCTACACAAGGCAACGCAAAGCGCCTCACAACCCATATAACATCATGCATAAATCATCAAACATTAGAATTTAAGTAAACATAAAAGGACAGATTAAGAGCACAAGATATATAAAATCACACAAGTAGTTAAAAACCGTAAAACATTAAAATCACACAAGGGATTAAAATCATAAATAATCATAAATAATCATAGTGCATTAAAAAGATTAAAGATAAAAACAAATATAAAATCATTCACTTGTATGCACAGCTAAAAAGAACTGTTTTCAGTTCAGTTTTAAAAACTGCTAGAGTAGACGCCTGTCTCACACTCTCGGAAAGACGGTTCCAGACTCTAGCTGCATGAATCTGAAACGCAGCCTCCCCATGTCTAGTTCCGACTCTTGGCACTAACAGAAGTCCAGTCCCTGTGCTCCTCAGAGCCCGAGTTGGTTCATATGGCACCAACATGTCGCGGATGTACCCTGGTGCGAGGCCATGGAGAGACTTGTACACAAGTAAAGCTACTTTAAAATCTATTCTCTGAGCCACAGGAAGCCAGTGCAGAGACCTGAGGACCGGACTAATGTGGTCGTACTTCCTGGTTCTAGTCAGGACTCGAGCTGCAGCATTTTGGATGTACTGCAGCTGTTTTACCGCTTGTTTAGAGACAGTCCTTTACTCTAGGACTGCATGATATATCGGCCGAAAAAACTGTAAACTCAACCCTATTCCATGCTACATACTAAAAGCCAAGACATAATTAGATGAAGATTAAAATGATAAGACCTTCCTTACCAAGAAGTGTCAGGTCTAATAAAACCTGCTAACCCAGAGTTTTGCAACGTCCAGTTTCTGTTTGTGTGTTTTTGTTTAATATTAACACTTTCTCTTTGAACTGATTTCATTTTACGTAACAGAATAGTTTTTATTAGCATTTGTCCCCTTGCCTAGTCCTACCTCATGTTACAGCCACAGTTCAGGTCCTCGAGAGCAGAGGAAGCAGAACAGCGGCTCTGGTTACCAAAGGTTTTTATTCTCAGGTCCTGTGTCCCTGAGGCTTGAATAATACAAGGCGTTTCCTTACGTAATCTTACAGTAACATACAGTATATGGCCGCAGTACTGCCATATCAAAGAAACAACTACTCTACACATCTATAGTCCAGCAGACGGTCACAATCTTACAGGGTTCTATACCGTGAATGAATGAATGAATGAGTAAATAGTTGAAATGGCTTTGCAGAACATAAAAATAACCTTGTCAAATGTGTTCCTTATTCTCAGTGCCACATTCGAAGCTCGGTGATTAAAAATGATTGCATCAGGATCTCAATGCAAATGTAATCAGTTGCACAGTCCTAGAATATATAGACAGCCTGGCTTTACAATATTAAAATTATAAGTACTAGCAGAAGCTGAAGTATTAGTGGTTGTAATAGCAGTGGTAGTAGTAGAAGTAGAAGTAGTAGTAGTAGTAGCAGTAGTTGTAGTAGTAGCAGCATTTGAAGTAGCAGTTGCAGTAGTAGTAGCAGCAGCAGTAGAAGTAGCAGTAGTAGTAATATCAGCAATACAAGTAGCAGCAGTAGTAGAAGTAGTAGTAGCAGCAGCAGCAGAAGTAGCAGTAGTAGTAATAGCAGCAATAGAAGTAGCAGCAGTAGCAGTAGTAGTAGCAGTAGGAGCAGTAGCAGTAGTGTGTCTTTTCAGCCCTTATGGACCAATGGCTCTATGTGTTTTTTATCGTTGCATTTTCGTTGCTGCTGTGATTGAGGGATATGCAAAAACACATTGAATCTAATTTGAATTGAATACTACAGTAGTAGTAGTAGTAGTAGCAGAGGCTGTTACTGAGTGACCAAGGAAAGTCATTTCACTGCAAGAGAAAGGTAGTGAGTAACAAGTACAGCTCGGCAGTAAATTACTGTTTTACGCACGTCACTACAGAAGTCTAGTAAGAGCTGCACGGATGTACACATGTGAGAAGCCTGTTTTTCTTTGAAGGTTGGGGGTTGGAATTCCTTATTGCAAAAGTGTTTGTGTGAAGCAATGAGATAAAAACTCCCAAAACACTCCGACGGTTAAAGTTAAAATCCCCTTTTTTGAGCATGTCTTGAATCAGGGATGTCAAAGTCAAAAAAAAATTTGCTACAAGCCGAGAGCCGGACTGGTTCAATGTTATTAAAATATATTAAGCCTGGTTCACACGGCAGGATAATTAGGCCGATTTTGGACCCGATTTACCCCGACGACAATCGTAAGAACGCTCCAAATATCGTGACAAAAAATCTGATGGATTGTCCTGCCGTGTGTGGTGTGTTAAGACTGTCCTCCTCGCTCGGAAGGACTTCGGGACTGCTCCGATCTCAATATCGGGGATATCCAACATGTTGGATTGTTTTGGCCTGATTTCTCTTCGTGTGTGGTGTCCCCGGGGACAGACGAGCGCGTTGCCATGACTGCGGCGTGTAGCCAATCAGAAGACGAGACGAGTCGGCGAGGAAACCCCGTAAAAAAACCAAAACAGTCAGCGGCATGGCGCACCAGAAAGTTCGGTGGACATCAGAGATGGAGGAACAACTAGTTGACCTCTGGCAACACCGTGAATGTATGTATGACGTGTCGTGTAAAGAACATCATCACCGAAATGACAAGGAGAGGAATTGGGCAGAAATGGCTGCTGCACAGGTAGTGTTGGCATAAACCCTGTTCGGACGGGATTAGTACTAAATGATCAGACTGATGGTTGTGTTTGTACGTTTACTTTGCACTCTGTCCTAATACAGTACAGACGTGTTGATGCAGCCGTTACTGCAGCCGTGCTTGTTGGTTTGCGCGTATGTAAAGTTTCATGTCTAGCAGTGTGTGTGATGCGTTCACAGGTAGTCCGTACAAACTGTATTGTTGAACAGCACAGACAGTACGGGCCAGAGAACTGTAGAGCAGTAAAATCCACATATATGTGTTTGTCCTCATGGTGTCTGTGGCTGCTGTGGTCAGACGAGTCTCTATAGGCTGCGTGAAGCAGAGAGGCCCACACACTCTGTTTACTCTGAAGTCACGCTTGATCTCGAGAGATGTTGTGAGATTTCCGGTGACCTGTGAATGCTCAGGGGTGAAATCGGTTTGTGTGTGATGTGCGTGATTTTGCCGTATGGCTGGGCACCACTCACTGTACGACCAAAGTGGTTAGACCCGTGATTTTTTATCTCCGTGTGTGGGGTCTCACACGGGAAAAAAATCAGCCGACAATTTTAAAATCGTCTCGTGTGAACCAGGCTTTACTGTACATACTAACATGATTGAATATCACCCACTAAACCAAGACCTAATAACCAAGACCTAACAACCAAGACCTTTTATTAAATGAATAATCCAAAGTTTTTGTGGCTCTGTCTGTCATTTCAAGTAAAAACATGTTATCAACAGCTCACAGACAAAAACTAACTTCCTTCAAAGAGAAAACACATGTCCTGAACATTAATAATCCAATATATCTCTGTGCGGTCGGTTCTAATACTGATCCAATATCATCCCGGGGGCCAAGATCATTCATTCGCGGGCCAGATCTAGCCCCCGGCCGTGACTTTGAAACCCATGTGTTTTCAGAGTCCCATGGAGGTCTGTTAAACATGTAAATTTTAAGAGAGCTGTTTTAGATATTTAAATGTTAAACTCTAGTTCAATACAAACTGGAATAAGGCCACACATGAATCTAAAATGAGCACTGTCCATAAATCATACATGAATAAATAAATCATAATCAATTGCATAACTGTGCCGGAATTTCAGTTCTTAAAATCAAATATTCAGAGATATCACTTAAACATACAAGTTGTGGTGTATATTTATTTGTTCTAGAGAATAAAAGGGTAAACTGTACATCAGTGGTGTCCAAACCTTTTAGTAAGAACGGTAAAACTGATATGATAAACTTGACTTGTCTATACTGTTTCACATTTGACAGATCAGAAGTTGGCAGAATGACATCTCACATTACCGCCTTAAAACAAAAGTCTGTACATACAGGATTCTAAAGATGAGATTTAGATGAAGAGATAGCATACAGAGCATAAAAAAGAAGCAAGTATAAAATCTCTATCTCTATATAATGAAGAAGCAAGAAAGTACAACATCTTCTATATTGTCATGCTTTATGTTTTAATTAATAGTTGGAAAACCAGTATCTAGTTTTGATGACTAATTAATAGTGGTAATCATAGCAATCATGATAATTTAATGTTATCGAAGGTAAAACTGAAAGTGAATTCCAACAGATTGTGACAATAATCCCGTTGTAAAGTCCATTTTCGTTGGCATTTCTGTAATTACAAAACGTTTCCCCGCAAAATGTACCTAATATATATGTTTTTAATGTATTAGAACCGATATCACGAAACAAGCAAATCTATTGTAACGATTTTTACGAGGCTCATACTTAGTTAATCAATGGGGCAAATTAAAAATACATAAACAGAACGTACGCGTAAAATATTGAATTGAACTGAATTCAATTGAATTTATTAAAAAGACTGTAATTTTTATTTTATTATTATTTTTACTTTTTATTTCATTCCAATTTTATCTTATTTTATTTCAATTGTGGACATCGCACATAATACATTCCAAATAATTGCAGTCTTGTCACACAAACTAAAAGGAGCAGAAAGAAGAAAACAAACACATATTGCAGCATGTAGAGAAAGAACTAGATGTCACGTGACTTGTTATAAATTGATCCAAACGATAAATATTATTACCATAAACTGGGCCTTACGCAGAAGAATCGGACGCATTGGACAGCCCTTTCCCCCGGACTTTCGTGAACAAACACATTCATTATTCTTACCTTGGTGGTTGAACAGCCTCCATAGCTTCGTAAACAGAATCCCCATGGCTGTCGGTGTCCGCAGCAGAAGCCAGTTTGAGAAAAATCACGTCTAAACTACACAATGCTAACAACTTTAGCTAGCATGCAGGCTAACTAGCTAGCCACAAATAAGCATACTTCTTCGAACACACGGCATTTTCCCGCTTTTAAACGGAGCTTGTGTTGGAAATGTCGAGGCTGGGTTGAAAGATAGAAGCGGGATGTTGTCGCAGAGGTTAGAAGTGAACATGAGGGTAGAAAACGCGAAAAAGCTGGAGTGGAGTCATGAAGGCAGCAGCGCTGGTTAGCTGTCAGATCCGCGCATGCGCAGTGGGGGAATGCCGTGAGATTGATGGTTCAATGTCCAGAGGGAAAAACAAGAGGTCAGAGAGAATCGTTATGAACTGACCCTATCATGATTGTGTCAGGACTAAACCTGCACCACAGCATGTACTCACGAAACCTCGTTCTATTACTGTTTTCTCTGTGATCAAGAGAAAAATAATACCCTATAACACTTGGATCAGGTTTAGGATGATTTAAAAAACAAGTTAAAATAGGATTCAGTTCAAAGCAAAACTAAAAGCACTGAAGAAATACATGGAAGATACACATATGTTAAAATTAAGATTAAGAAATGTTTTATTTGTCCCACAGGGGGAAATTATATATATACTGTATACTGTGTGTGTGTTTGTGTGTCTGTGTGTGTGTGTGTGTGTGTGTGTGTGTGTGTGTGTGTGTGTGTGTGTGTGTGTGTGTGTGTCTGTATGTGTGTGTGTGTGTGTGTCTGTATGTGTGTGTGTGTGTGTGTGTGTGTGTGTGTGTGTGTGTGTGTGTGTGTGTGTGTGTGTGTGTGTGTGTGTCTGTGTGCACTTGTTTTCAACTCCTGGTGGGTTCCATAACCTGAGATTCCACTCACGTCATGGGGACTGGTTTTACGTGGTGGGGCCCGAACACCGGACCCCACTGGTCCAAGCTTAATAATCAATGGGTAATGCTTTTCTAACGGTCCTTATGCAGTCTCTGTAAAAATATGGAAAGGACCCCTGGAGGTTTACTTTCCTGAAAAAAGTGTGTTATGTGTCGGAACCCTGGTGGTGGGTTGCGGGATATCAAGGAGGGGCACACTGGGGCAATTTCAGTCCAGCAGGCTGGAGCCAATCATGGAGCAGCACAACAGAGGAAATCAGGTGTCAGGCTAGAAAAAGGTGCAAGTGTGTGGTTCATTAGGCTGCAAGAAATCATGGAGGAGCACACTGAAGCGCACGCTTACAAACCACTGGTAAGTGCTGACTACAAGTCATGACTTCAAATTGTTATATAGAATGATTACAAATTATTTGTTGTTTGTGCAGCTTAGTCAAGAGTCCCTAATTGATGAAGTCGACTCAGATTCTGACGATTTAACTGTCAAGAAGAAACCTGTAAAAAAGTATGGAAAAAGAAAAATCAAAAACACTTTTCTTCAAGACTCGGAAAGTGACGAACCAAAGGCAAATAAGATTGTTATCATGCAGCTGCAAAAGAAGAAAAATGGGGGGCGAGTATACAGCAAGAGACACTTCTGCCTCTACTGTTCAATGTCCTGCCACAAAATGTCCCGTCATTTGACTAGAAAACATGGAAATGAAAGTGACGTAGCCAGAGCATTGGCTCTACCTGTGAAATCTAAAGCACGTAAACTTCAGTTTGATTTGATCAGGAATAGTGCAAACCGTGAGCACAATTTTGAGGTTTTAAAGGCCGGCATTGGAACTTTAGTCCCAGCTAAACAGCCAAATTCCCCAGTTAAATCCAGTGAGTTTTTGCACTGTATAGACTGTGGGGCATTGCTTAAGCGAAAGTCGCTGTGGAGGCATGTGGCCAGGTGCCGGCTTTCACAGAAAGATGCCCAGGCTAAACCAGGTAGAAGTAGGGTCCAGTCCCTCTGCTCCCTAGCCCAGCCTGTACCGGAGGGCATCAGCAAAAAGCTGTGGTCTTTAATTTCGGCAATGCATCAGGATGAGGTCACGGGTGTTGTCAAAGCAGAAAAGGGGATTCTGAGACTCGGAGAGCACCTGTACTTAAAACACGGGCATGATAAGACTAAGCATGATTACATTAGGCAGAAAATGAGAGAAGTCGGTAGGTTAATTAACGAAGCAAAAACCGCAGGGAAACTGAAAACAATTAAGGATTTCTTTATTCCTTCCAACTTTAACCATGTGATTGATGCAGTCAGGTCTGTGGCTGGATATGATGAGGAAACGAATCAATACAAGACTCCATCCTTGGCCCTCAAACTCGGCCATAGCCTCAGAAAGCTAGCAGATATTCTTGAATGTGACTCAAAAAAATGGAGCATTGTGTTGATGAACTATTTATTAAAAACCTCCAACGAAGCCGGCTGCTTTTTGAGAAGAGGTGGGACGTCTGTGTTTCTTCTGCTGCCCTACAGACCCTCCGGCAAGCCAAGTGGAACACTCCGGACCTGCTCCCTCTGACTGAGGACGTTAGAGCCATGCATGCACATATTGAGGTATGTCGACCTGAATATGTGCAAACCCTAATAAGTGAGCCAACGTCTAAGCATTGGTCTAAACTGGCAGTTTTGACTCTTTGTGAGGTCATCATTTTCAATCGAAGAAGGGAAGGTGAGGTTTCAAAGATGCCACTGACAGCCTTTACCTTAAGAAGTAAGACTGGGATCCATTCTGACATTGCTCTGGGACTGTCCCAACTTGAGAAAAAGCTGTGTCAGCATTTTCAACGCATTGAAATTAAAGGGAAAAGAAGTCGGAAAGTGCCGGTTCTTTTGACTCCTGAAATGATTGCTTCGATGGAGGTGCTGGTGGAGAACAGAAGGGCCTGTTCCATCTCTGACCATAACCCATACTTCTTTTCCCGCCCGGGCGCAGACACCCACATCAGGGGATCAGACTCCCTACGCCAGGTAGCCAAAGAATGTGGTGCGGTGCATCCAGAGATGCTATCCTCAACCAAACTTAGAAAGCACATAGCTACTATGTCTACAGTTCTCAATATGAAAGAGAATGAGATGGACATACTTGCCAACTTCCTCGGCCATGACATTCGCATCCACAGGCAATATTACAGACTACCAGAGGGGACACTGGAGCTGGCCAAAATCAGCAAAGTGTTGATGGCCATGGAGCAGGGAAGAGTGACGGAATTCGAAGGAAAGAGCCTCGACCAGATACAAATTGAGCCTGAAGGTAATTCTTGATATTATTAAAATATGTATGATTTTTTTCCCCTAAAGGCCACTTGTATTTTTATTTTCTGTGCGACAGGGAGAGCAGTAGAGATCCTCTCACAAACGGACGGGCTAAAAGAAACTTCAAGCGGAGAACCTTCAACCATTCATCCAGATGCACCCCATGGTAGTGGCAGTGCCCCTTCTGGTAAGTGTACCAGGTGGGGGATTACAGCCAGGCTGCTTGGTCCTCACCCTGGGAGTGTATATTGCTAATATATTTTTATTTCTCTCCCTAGAACGTGTAAGAAAGCCATGGTCTGCATCTGAGGTGAAGGCTGTGGAGAAGACCATGACACCTTTCATACAGACTGGAAAGGTCCCTGGGAAGTCTCACTGCCTGGCCTGCATTAATGCCTCACCAGATGACCTTAGACATTGGACATGGAGTGGCATTAAATTCTATGTCAAAAATAGAATCACTGCAATTCGAAAACAAAATCTAAAATAAAATTCCTTTAAAATAGTTGTTTGGTTTCTATTGACTGTTTTGTATTACTTAAAGTCTTGGTAAAAAAAGATTATGTCTATGGGTCCCATTCTGAACGGCCCTGTCAAAGGGACCCACCAGGTAACAAAAACGTGTATGTGTGTCTGTGTGTGTGTGCGTGTGTGCCTGTCTGTGTGTGTGTGTGTGCCTGTCTGTGTGTGTGTGTGTGTGTGTGTGTGTGTGTCTGTATGTGTGTGTGTGTGTGTGTGTGTGCGTGTGTGCCTGTCTATATGTGTGTGTGTGTGTGTGTGTGTGTGTGTGTTTGTATGATCTCTCCCAAAACTGCACTTGTTGTTAATATTTACAGTCTATGGTCGTTGATAGAGAGTTGAGAGGATATGAGGTAACGTAATCTATTGCAAGTTTGTACTCTGTGATGAAGCAACGCTGGTGTAGAGCCAGAAACAAGTATTCCACGTTATCTTGTATCTTGCTCCAATAAGTTGATCTAAAATACTAAGTAACGCTAACCCCTAATCCCTCTAACCCTAGCCCTACACTGCAAAAATACTAAAATGTGAGGTAAGAATTGCTTGAATCAAGAGGTTTTTATCTTAATCCGAGCACATTCTGACTTTTTAGGAGGAGGTACTTTATTTATCCACATAAAGTAAACTCCGTAAGTCTCAGTAAGTCTGTGTCACACTCACCATTACCACCGGGTTCACTGGTGTGTGTTATGTATCGGTAAATCCAGATGTGAGACGTGCACGGATTGATCAAATATCTTCATTTGTGTGAGAAACTCAAGCTTCCCTTAGCAACCGTCCTAGCAACACGTCTGCCCCTGTTATGGCACGAAGCTAACCCTGTCAGAACAAATGCCCATATATGGAAATTGGCTCCAGCTAGCTTATGTTCACATCATCTTCTTCCACATTAATGCTAACACTGATGTCAACTCGGTCCTCTCCTTGTGTCCGCTCTCTGGTCCCGTACAGTTATGTTTGTGTCCGACAGGAACCATGGACAAGATTCTCCACTGGGACAAAACCATTTAGACTTATTCCAAGAACTACGACTATATTTTCTCATTCAAAGGGAGACATTTCTGGTATCTTTTTAAGACTAGATCATTTTGCTTCAGAATGTGCTCAAATTAACATACTTTTTACCAAATCTTTCACAATTATTCACTTATTTTTCATCACTTTTTCCAGTTTATTCTATATTTCAGTGATATTGCATTTAAGTTATGCATTCCTAATAGATCCCCCACAGACTTATCATGGCCCTTGTGGAAGATAAAAGGTGTAGCTAAAGAAACTGCAGCTCC